CATGACAAGGGACATTTTGGATTAATTAAAACAGAAGAGTTGATTTCCAGAAACTATTACTTTGAAAACATGAAAGATAAGATCAAATCAGTATTAGAAAACTGCATAGAGTGTATTTTAATTTCACATAAAAAGGGAAAATCCGTAGGTTTTCTGCATGCCATAGACAAAGGAGACATACCACTATCTACTTACTATATTGACCATTTGGGACCGTTGACATCAACAAATAAGAATTACAAGTACATATTCACAGTTGTATGTGATGTGTGTGTTGTATATGATGAAACCTTGGGTTGCTGATGCTGTCGAGTACGAATCATCTGGGACAGACGACTGAGCAGGACGGCCGTGTGGGAATATTTAGGTGTAACCATTGGCCACACCGACCTGACAGATGACAGATGGTGCATGAAGTATAAGTGACAGATTGATTAAGACGAAATAAGAAAAGACGTATATTTTTGTGAACTGATGATTAAATAAAATTTAACAAATTCGCTAATTTCATTGTGCACCGCGATCCCACATATATACATACATACATACATATAATAGTTTATACAGTATTAAAAGGAATATATTAATAAATAATAATTACTTATATATTATTATGTCGTGGATAACGACTTTTAGTAATATTAAGACGGTGGTTTTGATTATTATTTTAAATGATGAAATGTTGTTTTGATAAATATCACAAAATGAAGGGTAGACTCCGTAACGCCACAGTATAAAATGGCGGTACGTGGATAGGGTCGTGGCATTCGTGTCAGACAGTGATTCCGTCCGTCTCAGCAGTGAGTCTCTGACAGTCAGTCAGTCAGTCAGTCAGTCAGTCAGTCAGTCGGTCTGTCGGTATGTGCAACGAAACTGTCGGTTTATCCTGTCATTGTGAAAGTTGTGTGTGTTGAGTTTCAATAATTATTATTCAAAAGGTTTGATTGACTTTTTATAAACTGAGTTCATCCAAATACGAGTGATGACGGAACCTACCGCTCAGCCATCCCTGACGTGTGCTGACATATATATTAATGATATAGTTCAAATTACTTTTAAATTTTTTTTTCGCATTTAGCAATAAATTATATCATTATTCTTTTTTATGTAATAAACGTGAAATAAAAAGGTATAATTCGTTTTGGGAGATACCGATAATGGGGAGATCTTCCACAATACAAGTTTTTTTTTTTTTTTGCCATTGTAGGCAGACGAGCACACGGCCCACCTGACGATGAGTGGTTACGGTCGCCCATGGACTTCATCAATGTCAGGAGAGCCAAACCACTGCCTACCATAAAGTTCTTCTCCGCAAGCCTTGTTTGAAGAAGGACATGTCATAGTGCTCGGAAAACACCGTGGAGGGGAGCTCATTCCAAAGCCGGATGGTACGTGGCAAAAAAGATCTTTGGAAACGCACTGTCGATGAACACATCGGTTCCAGATAATATGCACGAACTCTGCTCCGATGGCGGGAGGTGCGATGATAAAAAGGAGATGAGGGGATCATCTCGAATAATTCCTCAGTAAAATTGCTCTGTAGACAGACGGTTCAAATGTTGTTTTTCGAAACTTTTATTTCTGTAAGTTTATCTTGATAATGTCGCTGGTGAGATTCAGGCATCCGTCAAATATATTTTTGTTCTACCATGACTAGGTACTCCAACAATATTTTTAATTACAAGTATGACTACGGGTCGTAAAAGCCAAAGAAAATGTTATGTTTTAATGGTAGAATGTGGTTTTGATATAATATTACAACATATAGGTGATTAGCCTTAAGAATCATACTTTACTTTGAGTAAACTAAAATATGATAATTCATATCTGATTATTGGAATCGTCTGAGATAACGAATCAGTCTTAGAAATGAGATCAGGCGAAGATGGAGACGGAAGGTGAGAATATGATACAACTGAAATCTGAATCTTGAATAGTTACTGTAGTTACTGTATAGTGTATAGGTAAACGAAGTAATGTCTGTCCTGGTGCTAAGTGGACTTTTTTTTTTGCTGCAGCATAGCGTCTGGCCCCTAAGTGGGGCAATGTAACACCCTCTTTTAAATGGAGAGAAGACTGACGCTCCCAACTGGAGTGCGGACCCCTGAGGGGGCACCCGCCAGACAGACTAGAGGCATGTGCGAAGAGGCTGGTGAAACCCAGCTACAAGGGGGACTCTCATAGGTCCTCACCTGCCTTACAGCCGATGAGGATCTTTAACTCCGAACGATCTTTGGGGGTACCAAAAGCTCCCGTGACAACGCCTTTCAATCAGGTGGTCTGGCGTGCAGCGGGGTAATGTTGTGGAGATGCTCATGGGGGCCGTTTTCGGCTTATTCGTACATGTTACGGGTGAGCCTAATCACGAACTGCCTGAGCGACTCTACACCTACCGACGATAACGTCATTTCTGACGTACCGCCCGGCCCCGACGATATTACGGAGGGCAAGATTCTGCTGGGCCTGCAGCTTAGATCGCTGAGACGCAGACAACAGCTGGTACCGGGCCGCAGCAGCGTATATGAGGCGGGAACAGACGTATGTCTGGTAAATGGCGAGCTTAATCCTGGTCGGGAGCCCGGATGCCAACACCGGCCGCAACATGCACCTGGCTGCGCTCGCCGATCCGATAATTCGGTTAGCGTGCGCCGCCATGCTCAACGCGCGAACAACGTCACACCCGAGGTACCGGACCTTTGGCTTAAATTTCGGTAATCATGTTAACTCTTTCATCCTTTTATGCAATAACTAAATCAATAACCTAAACTTCTCAAAGCATTATATAAAAGTGACATTCAACTTTTTGTCTGACTAAAGTACGGCTTACACAATGTCCAACTTTGAGAATATCAATAAATAAATATAATACCTAAACTTTTGTATAAAATAAACTTAAAACAAACAAATGAATCCGTCCGACGGGGGACACATCAAAGGTAAAATAAAATTGTTTTATTTATTTAATTCCGAGCATTTTCATATATCTACCTTTTAAACCTTCCCTGGACTTCCACAAATAGTTCAAGACCAAAATTAGCCAAATCGGTCGAGCCGTTCTCGAGTTTTAGCGAGACTAACGAACAGCAATTCATTTTTATATAAATAGATTTATTCGTAATTATACTTTTTTTTGAGAAGCGCGCAGTTTTCTGTAACTCTACAACGAGATGCATCGTTTGGGTATAGGTTATAAACCATATATATACAGGGTGTCCCACAAAGGGTGGTATATAATGTCGAAAACTGTAAATAAGAGATACGACAAAACATAAATGTTTCCAAGTAATTAGTCTTGAAAATAAAGAATAGTTGAGCATACTGAACACACAGGGGCACAGCCAAGCCGCGGTCTACTGTAGCTAACCTGATGCCACTATGCCGACAGAATTACGATAGCGGAACACTTTTTATTGTCTAGATGGGTGGACGGTTTCACAGCCCACCTGGTGTTAAGTGGTTACCGGAGCCCATAGGCATCTATAACGTAAATACGCCACTTGAGATATAAGTTCTAAGGTCTCAGTATAGTTACAGGGTTCTAAATATTAGTATACCTAAAAAATTAATTTAATTACCAACGTAATTTGTCCACTATTTTAGATTGTTTTATTAATATAAAGAAATAAATGAAACGCTTGTTTAACCTCTAAAGTAATTTTTATTATTTCTACGACTTTAAAAAAACGAAGAAAAACTATAACCATTTATGTTTCTTTATTCTCAACTCAAAACATCATCGTCATAATGTGTTTGTTTCCCGAATTATGGAAAGATAAATAAAACAGATTATTGTAATGATTCAATATAAATAATTGAAACACAAATTAAGTATTTTCGATGAAGTTTACTTATTGTCCAGCGCGTCTGTTGAAGTTTCTCGCAGCGAATCTGGCTCCAACTTTGATGGCTTCCCAGGTCTCGAAGCCAGCCTGGAGAATGAAGTCGGGCTCGACCAGGAATCCTTGTACTGTACTCGTGATTCCTCTGTATGAGGGCAATTCAAACGTGTAGCTGAATGGAACGCCAGTGGTCATGGCGTAGTCGCTTGACCCACCGGAAGCCATGTAAAGAACCATGGCAACATTGCCGACAATGTAGTTTCTATTCTGAGGCCATTTCACAGCATCGATAGCCTGGGCCATTTGTACTCCGAGATAATTGACGGCCAACGCATTAGGAGGAAGCTGCCTGTTGCCGTAACCATATAAGACCATGCTGCCGAAACTGTGGATGTCAATATACAACTCCAATCTGTTCCTGTGCGCATGCAGAATGTCACGGACGATGGCGGACTCGGGTTCGGAGAAAGCACGGCGCCCGTGGAAGGTGTCAGAGCAGGGGTTCGTGCTGGACGCGGTTCCCCAGAATATGTCAAAGTTACGATTTAAATCGACCCCCATGCAAAAGGAGTTGCGGGCGCGGTTTTTGCGCCAGAAGCGTGCCTATAAAAGAAATGTAATAAAATTACTTTCGATAATCAATTCCTTTTTAATGCGTTTCTATTAGCTTCAGACGTGTATGCATGTTTGTAACGGAATCTTTGAACATGATTTTGACCCACTTCAAAACGTCGGATAAACTCGAAATTTGATATACTTATCAAAGACCGATGACAAGTCAATATTAAAAAAAAATATAAAAAAATTGAAATTAAAATGAAAAATAAATAATAGTTTAAAAAACTAATAAATAGGCTTTTATAGAAAATCCAACTAAAAAATAGAAAATATTTTAATATTTTTAAATTAAAATAGTGTAAGAAAAAATGATTTTATTGTAAAAAAAGCGTGGGGTGCACGGTATCAGTAGTTATTAATATTTTATGAACAGATATGAGTAGAAAGGTTATTTTGATAATATCCTGAAAGGCACTCATTCTCATATCTGTTCATAAAATATTTATAACTACTCTGTAATAAATTTATTAAAATTTATTATATTTTCAATTTTTTTAGTTGGATTTTCTTTAAAAGCGTATTTTGTTAGTTTTTTTAAACTATTATATATTTATTACAGACTCCTGTACGAATTAATGTACAGGCAACGAAAAATATAATTCTATTTATGATTAGCATTAACTACTGGTTGAAACGAAAGAGAAATCGATGTTTAAAGTCACTAACTTCATTATTATCCCGATCATAAACAACAACTTACACTAGTATGAGAATGTTCGTATCCATCAGGGTTGGCGATTGGCAAGATGATCCAGTCGATATCGTTAACTAGATCCCTTTCAGTGACGTCGATAACCAACTTCTCGATAGCATAGAGCGTTGCTGGAAGTGTTACCCATTCTCTGGCGTGCAGAAGAGACTGGAGCATCACTACCGGTTTTCTGGTGTCCTAAAAGTATTTAAGATGCTAATTAAACTCGAATTATAAATAAAATTATTATAACCAATTTTTTCTTCATATCTAATTTAACTAACCTGAAAATTGGTCGTGGAAATCGTAATGTACTTAATATCTCTGCCTTCAACACTCCTGCCCGCTGAGAAGACGCGAACATTGGGATAGGTGTTGGCCAAGTCCACAAGATACCGGTCGACCTGCGATCATTTAACGGACATTACTAAACTGTTACTCTCTATACTCTACTCTATAAAATAAAAAAAAGATCTGTGGTGTCGTAGGACACCGGATAGGAACGAAGTTCCTTATTATTAAAAATATTAATTTTAAGTTTTATCGAGGTATAAAGAAAATAATCATTCGGGTATACATGTTTTATTATGATTTTATTATTGATAAAATAAAGATATTCCAAAACAAGTTAATATACACTAAAAACAATAATCATCGAAATCGGTTGGCGTGATATTGAGTTATTGAGTTATTTATCTATTTGTCGCGCACGTACTTAATGCAAATTTAAGGCTTATATGGTTTTCTCATGGATACCATTATCAGAACTGGACTAAATTGAAATGAGACCACACGGAAAGCGTCAGCTTTCTAATAAAAAAAGAATCATCAAAATGGATTCACCTAGTCAAAAGTTATTAGGTAACAAACATAAAATCTTACGTTACGGACGTTTTTTCACGGTTAGGGTACCCCTCCGCATCGTCCCATAAGGAACTTCGTTCCAAAAACGTTACAAAAATTTTCAATCAGCGTGTTGCTGTTCATATAAAAACCTACTCACCACTGCGTATCTGTGGATAACGTCGAAGGACAGTCCGGGGAGAGATCTGGATCTATTGCTACGAGCAGCAGCAACTTCTAACAATGAATCTTCTAAGTCTAATTTCCTGGAAGATAAGATCTTGACTTAATATAAATCTTCCTTAATCAGTTTTACACATCTAAGTTTTACACGTCTATGCCCACAGTTGGCCACTATTGGATATAGGTCTAAACTACACCACCGAGACCAGTTTTCGGCTCTCTCATTGGTTTCCTTTAGTCGACCATTCGTAAATTATCTCTCCACCTGGCCAGGGAACGCCCCCCACTAAATTTGTCGGTGCGTGGCCTTCATTCAAGAAGCCATCAGTTCCAGCGATTGTCGGTTCTACATATTTGTCTAATCTACTGCCATTAAGTTTGCCAACTCTATGAACTATGTCCATGACTTTAGTTCTCTGTCAAATTACTACATTACTGATTTTATTCTTCAGAGAAAATCCAAACAAAGCTCATTCCATAGGACTTTGAGCGACCTTAAAATAATAAACTAGCAGCACCGTAAGAGTCCAATCATCACCATTAAGTTTGAAAACTTTTGTATTCAAGCACTGCGAAATGGGGTGGACAAGACTCTTCGTTGTTTGCCAAACATTGCCCAGTCCAGCTAAATCCCCTTTCTAGCTCTCCTTTAAATTATTTTACACAACAACAAGCTCTGCCCAAACTAGTCATATACTTGAACGATTTCAGCTTCTTAATATTTCTTATATAATAATATACTAATTGAAAACCTTACACCCAAAACTTTACTCGGCTTAATCAATCAATTATTATTTGAATTGATCGGTAAACGCTGGTGATGTCTTATATTATTATAAATTATAATTTGCGTAATTACTAGTGGTAGGACCTCTTGTGAGTCCGCGCGGGTGGGTACCACCAGCCTGCCTATTTCTGCCGTGAAGCAGCAATGCGTTTCGGTTTGTAAGGTGGGACAGCCGTTGTAACTGTACGTGAGACCTTAGAACTTATATAGCACCTCATTTCGGATCCTCCCGATCCACTAACGGTGCTTTTAGGTAACTCAAGCACCGGTCACCGTTCTCGTCGAACCAGTCGCTTGCGACGAAGGGCTCGACGAGTAAGTTAACCCTCAGACACAGCCCACTGAGTTTCTCGCCGGATCTTCTCAGTGGGTCGCGTTTCCGATCCGGTGGTAGATTCTGCGAAGCACGGCTCTTGCTAGGGTTCGTGTTAGCAACATCCTCAAGTTTGAGCCCCGTGAGATAAGCTAAGTTAAGGTTCCGCTGAAGTAGCCTCTCAAGGCTATCAGCTTAGGTAGAACAAAAAAAAAAGAAAAAAAAGTAGGTTGATGATAATTAAGATGAATATATGAGGGTTAAAAGCATAAAAAGTAGGTATATCTTGTAAATTCTGGAGGAGTCGTAGAAAATACGATGTCGGTGGTACTATGAACAAATGCAGGATCTTAGAAGAAGGAAACAGATTTCACCCATATATAACTACATAGTTTGGAAACAAAAGCTGCTAATTGTGTCATAGCTAATTCTACGGGGCTACAAAGAACTTTTCTTTTTATTATCGACGCGCTCGAAAAGTTCCCACCCAAAAGTTTAACTTCAACGTAACTTACTCTTTAATGTTCTCCACTTCCAAAGAATAAGTAATTCCCGCAGCAGCAAGCTCTTCTTGGAATTGTTCCTTCAGGTGACCTGGAACGAGGATCTGTCCCGGTTTACCAGGGTAGGCGTAAACCCAGACATCCAGGTTGTATCTGGTCTGAATCTCTTCAAGAAGTTGGGTTTGCTCGACGAATTCCACGTTGACTTGGTAAAGACCGTGGCTGCGAACGGAAGTTTTTTAATAAATATCTAATTAAAAAAAGCTAAACACATTTTTCTATAGAATTCGTTAATCTGACCCTCCCAAAACTTAAGTGTGTTTAAGAATAATTAAAAATTAACATCAAAAATTTTACAGTTTTAGTTCATTTCAAGATAACATAGTATCGCTGTGTCTATGAGCGACTGGTACTACTTATCATCAAGTGGACCGTATGTTCGTCTGCCTATAAAGACAAGACAAAAGGATGAAGAAAAAAATAAAATACCTAAAGATAAAGATTAAATTATAGACACATTATATAGGCCCACTGAGTTTCTCGCCGGATCTTTTCAGTGGGTCGCGATTCCGATTCAGCGAAGCACTGCTAGGGCTAGTGTTTGTAAACTCTCTTAAGTTGAGCCCTTGAGCTCAGCTACCCGACTGGGCGGAAGGGAAAAAACATAATATTATATTAGAGGCGAAATTTACAGGATATTCGATACTATCTTAAGTTACGTTATAGTAAAAATATGATGACAAAGTACAGACAATCGAAACTTTATTGATGGATATTACATCGTATCGTTCAATATTAGACGGACAGATTAATTGTCTGCAATCGCACGATATTTACTTGCGCCGATTTTAACAGTATAGACTATATTTAACCTCACCCATCATATAATTCGTGTTTCGCAAAAGCGAAATGAAACACGACGCATAAGATCAGGCTGAATTGTTTCATGATGGCGGCGGAATCACGCCTGCCCGGATCACGTTTAACGAATACTTTAGTACCGGGTCTATTTATTAATTATTATTGATGAATCCTTAATGACTTTTATCTCAATGATAAGAGAATATTAATTCAAATTTTTACGAATAAGTCTGAACTGCACGACTTCGACGGGAGTTCCGTAGCTTGAGTGATTTGCGCGTACATATTTTTATTTTTTTATTGCGTAGATGTGTAGACGAGCTTACAGCCCACCTGGTGTTAAGTGGTTACCGGAGCCCATAGACATATACAACGTAAGTGCCGCCATCCACCTAGAGATATGAGTTCTAAGGTCTCAGTATAGTTACAACGGCTGCCGCACCCTTCAAACCGAAATGCTTCACGGCTGAAATAGGCAGGGTGGTGGTACCTACCCGTGCGAACTCACAAGAGGTCCTACTACCAGTAAAAACACAATTTTAATAACAAAGAACTGTACTGGCCATAGAAGGGTGATGTATGTAGTGTTACACTTGCACCTGCGTAGTACTTTGTTGAATTGTCCATCAACTTTTGCTGAGCATAGGATATGCATAGCCATACTGGAATATGCTCTTGTGCAAAAAATCATCCATTTTCCTAATTGACTTAATTGCCATTAAGGTTACCCATATCCTTTTTCGGACATCGAGTAAAATGGCTTCAGTATTAAAGCGAAACTTTTATTACATCGTCCCAAACTTGTTCGTCTGTTATTTGCATGTCGCGTGACGGTCGGCCGCGGAGTAGGGATAAAGTGAAAGGCGCCCGTCAGAGCAGCCAAGGCCAATATGGCGGCGTCTATAGTTCGCAGCAGCTGACCGTGTAGTGGATAGACTATTACTCATTTGTGCCAGTGCTCCGAGCTATTTTGTTTATTTTTGTCAGTGTTTAATGTAAATGTTGTTTGTCAGAGTTAAATGTCTATAATGTGAAAAAAAGTTTCACTTTTACCGTGGTTTCATAAAACCACACAATCCTTTTTTTTATTCCCTCGCGGAACCCTTTCCATATATTTTTATCAGCTTCCATATCTGGATGATGCGATTGTTGTCGGGCGTCGATAAAACTAATATCAATTAAATTTGAAAAGTATTTGATTGCAAAAGTTCTTTTCGCTAATGAATTAAATAAATATTAGTACGTAAGCATCGTTGGAGAGCACAATGAAGCGTGGCTACTCCACGCCTCAAATCGGGATACAGTATTGATTCGCGGCAATAATGGGGCAGTTTGGTAGTACACGTATATATTTTTAATACCCCGTATGACTAGTACACGCTGATCGGCTTTTTTTTTTTTTTTTTTTTTTCCTACCTAAGCTGAGAGCCTTGAGAGGCTATGTCAGCGTAACCCTAACTTTTGTAGGTGAGCTCACGGGGCTCAAACCTGATGACGTTGCTAACACGAACCCTAGCAAGAGCCGTGCTTCGCAGAATCTACCACCGGATCGGAAACGCGACCCACTGAGAAGATCCGGCGAGAAANCTTAGACGAACAGCTGGCGCAAACTGGATAGACGTAGCACAGGATAGAGACGCTTGGGCATCTTTGGAGGAGGCCTTTACCCGATCCGGGGTTCTTGCTAACTAAATTTTACTGATTTATTACAAAACTCTTTTACATCCTAAATACTTATACATACATTTATATTTATTATATATTTTTTTTAAACTTTGTAAAGCAAGAAATAAAGGACTTATTATTATTATTATTATTATTACATCGTATCGTTCAATATTAGACGGACAGATCAATTGTCTGCAATTGCACGATATTTACTTGCGCCGATATAGATTTAACAATATAGATTATATTTAACCTCACCCATCATATAATTCGTGTTTCGCCAAAGCGAAATGAAACACGACGCATAAGATCAGGCTCAATTGTTTCATGATGGCGGCGGAATCACGCCTTCCCGGATCACGTTTAACAAATACTTTACTACCGGGTCTATTTATTAATTATTATTGATGTCCTTAATGACTTTTATCTCAATGATAAGAGAATATTAATTAAAAATTAACGAATAAGTGTGAACTGCACGACTTCGACGGGAGTTCCGTAGCTTGAGTGATTTGCATAGATGTGTAGACGAGCTCACAGCCCACCTGGTGTTAAGTGGTTACCGGAGCCCATAGAAATATACAGCGTAAGTGCCGCCACCCACCTAGAGATATGAGTTCTAAGGTCTCAGTATAGTTACAACGGCTGCCGCACCCTTCAAACCGAAACGCATTACTGCTTCACGGCTGAAATAGGCGGGGTGGTGGTACCTACCCGTGCGGACTCACAAGAGGTCCTGCCACCAGTAAAAACACAATTTTAATAACAAATAACTGTACTGGCCATAGAAGGGTGATGTGTGTAATGTTACACTTGCAGCTGCGTAGCACTTTTTTGAATTGTCCATCAACTTTTGCTGAGCATAGGATATGCATAGCCATACTGGAATATGCTCTTGTGCGAAAAACCATCCATTTTACTAATTGGCTTAATTGCCAACCCATATCCTTTTTCGGACATCGAGTAAAATGGCTTCAGTATTAAAGCGAAACTTTTATTACATCGTCCCAAACTTTTTCGTCTGTGTGTTGCATGTCGCGTGACGGTCGGCCGCGGAGTAGAGATAAAGTGAAAGGCGCCCGTCAAAGCAGCCAAGGCCAATATGGCGACGCATATAGTTCGCAGCAGCTGATCGTGTAGTGTATAGACTATTACTCATTTGTGCCAGTGCTCTACGCTATTTTGTTTTTGTTTTTGTCAGTGTTTAATGTAAATGTTGTTTGTCAGAGTTAAATGTCTATAATGTGAAAAATAGTTTCACTTTTACCGTGGTTTCATAAAACCACAAAACCTTTTTTTTATTCCCTCGCGGAACCCTTTCCATATATTTTTATCAGCTTCCATATCTGGATGATGCGATTGTTGTCGGCTGTCGATAAAACTAATATCAATTAAATTTGAAAAGTATTTGATTGCAAAAGTTCTTTTCGCTAATGAATTAAATAAATATTAGTACGTAAGCATGAGCACAATGAAGCGATGCTACTCCACGCCTCAAATCGGGATACAGTATTGATTCGCGGCAATAATGGGGCAGTTTGGTAGTACCAACACGTGTATATTTTTAATACCCCGTATGACTATTACACGCTGATCGGCAATCGCAGTACGCCGATATATAATATTTAGCTGAAAACAAATTTTCTGGTGACACCCTTAACTGTCGCGTGTGACTCCAACGCGAGGTGATAGGGCTGGAAAATTCTGTTTAACCACAAGAAAGAGATGGAACGATCATTGCGACTGACTCGTCTCGTCTCGCTTAATCTCCCCTAATCTTTATTATTCAGCGAGTATATTTATTTTTTCCCTCAGCCACTGAAGTCCACTGAGTTTCTCACCGGGCTTTCAGTGGGTCGCGTTTCCGATCCGGTGATAGATTCTCCGAAGCAAAGCTAGGGCTAGTGTTAGCAAATTCGTCAGGCTAGAGTCCTGAGAGCTCATCCACTCACTTTAAGTCACTAGAATAAGTAGGAAAAAAAATTAAATAATTTTTTTTTTATTGCCTAGGTGGGTGGACGATCTCACAGCCCACTTGGTGTTAAGTGGTTACTGGAGCCCATAGACATCTTCAACGTAAATGCGCCACCCACCTTGAGATATAAGTTCTAAGGTCTCAGTATAGTTACAACGGCTGCCCCACCCTTCAAACCGAAACGCATTACTGCTTCACGGCAGAAATAGGCGGGGTGGTGGTACCTACCCGTGCGGACTCACAAGAGGTCCTGCCACCAGTAAAACCATCAAAGAACCATTTCAACGTCCTTCGACGTGTGAACAGTAAATATTTCATAACAACGCCATCTAGTCATTCATTTATATATCAATTGAAAATTAATCTTTAATGATGTATTTGAAATTGCTTGTCGAATTTAATTGAAAATTTTGGCTTGTAGTTTTTTACTTCAGAGGTTTTTGTTGCAGTACCATAAAACACGATAGGTGGCGTGCGAGTTGTTTCATAGCGTTGTATATTTATAACATTTCGCCGTAGTCACCGCGAAGTTCCGCAAGAAACAATTAGAAGACTTAGTAAACGGATTAGATTCTTTACCATCAGCGATCTTCTTCTTTTTCTCCACCTTATCCCACTAGGTGGTGACGGCACAGCAAATTTTTCTATTCCATTCTCTTCTATCAGCCGTCATCTCAACACTCACCCGTCTCTCTCTCATATCGTAATTCACACACTCCATGCGTGTCTTCTTCGGTCGACTTCTTCTCCTTCTACCTTGCACTACCATTTCCATACATCTCCTAGTCACATGCAACTTCTCTCTACGCATCACATGTCCATACCACACTAATAATAAAATCATTTTTTTTAAACTATTTTTAATTCAAATTCATTAAAATTTATTTTCTATTTTTTATTTGGATTTTCTAATACTAACATACATATATCTGAAGCTAATAAAAGCGTATTAAAATTGGAAATTTCCAGCGGGATTCGAACACCGGTGCATCACTAGATATGAATGCCCCGGACGTCTTATCCTTTAGGCCACGACGACTTCAAGCATTGAAACACTTATAAAACTATAAGAGTCCCGAGTATGAATAATGACATGAGTAGGTAAGTAGTGGCTTAGCTCTGCTGGCATTGCTGATACCCATGGACAACGGTAACCACTCCCCATCTGATGGCTCGTATGCTCGTATGTTTGACTGTACAAAACAATAAAAAAAACGTCTAAAGTTTGGAAAAAGACAAGTCCTTCCCGTTGCGAGATTGTGCATTGGAACCAATTATAGACACGTAGTATTGGTACCAAACTATTTGACTAAGCCATAATTTTTTTAGACATTAGTTAATGCGAAAAATATACTCAATTTTTTCTCTGCACCCCTTGCTTTCAAATTTTAAATAAGCAGACATTAGGACGGCTTACATTAAAGAGTCAAAACCGCTGACTGAA